TAACAGGGAAGAGGTGCTGCTGGGCTCCATCCTTCGTCATGCCTATCATGCCATCTTCTACTTAACAACAAATCTGTTAATTGTCACTACCATGACAGGTGCGGATGAAGAATTGAAGAAAAAAAAAAAAACTTGATAATCTTAGTTACATTATGTAAATAATTGGTATAACCAATAATTTGCATTTAACTGCTCTAATTTTTCATTCGGGCTTAGTTAGGTTTCTCCTATCTAAAAAATTACAGTAATATTTCTATAGAAATAAGCTAATAAGTAACTGCAAGACACTTGCGCAAGACCAAGACCATGACCAAGACTGAATTTGCAAGACTAAGACTCGTCTCGGTCTCGCATTTGGACAACAATAGTGTGATGCTTTTCTTAAATTACAGTCCAGTCAATGAATGGTTATAGAAGAAAATGGCGGCAACACAATTTTTGTACTGCAGGACATTTTTTGGACTAGTAAAGAGGTAAACATACTAATAGTTCCAACTCCTAGGTGTTGAGCACTAGCGGATCCAGGATTTAATTTTGGGGGGGGGCTTCAGCCCGAAAGCTTTTTTTTTTCATAAAAATAACAATATTTACTTTGGAAAAACAGAAAGAAACTAACTACCTATATGAAATGGTGTTTAAGTGATTCCTTAAGTCCTTTTAAATGTAATTAAACCAACAATAATACTTTAAGAGGTATTTTTTAATTTTTTTTCCTATAAAACGTGGTTATGTTTTACCATTTTGGGGGGGGAGGGCTTCAGCCCGAAAGCCCTCCCCCCGTAGATCCGCCCGTGGTGTTGAGACAGATGTGGATGGAGAGAGGGTGTAGAGGATGGTGCCTATAAAGTTACTTTTTTCTAGTTTTCCCTTATATTAGGAAAACCATCCATCGCATCGACAAAGACGTTCTATACAAAATTAAAGCTGATAAAATTTGCAATATGATTGATTATATATATGTTTTCGCTATCTCGTTTAGTTTCGAAGATATTCCTCCTCAACTATCGCTAATGTGGAAAAAAATAATTTACCTCATGTTTTTTAGTGAATATAACTAGCTAATTCTTGATTGCTTCGTTTTATGGTTAAGGCATGGTGAAAAAAGTTAGTAATAATTAAATTTTCTTCAAGAATAGATATTGTTTTACTTGTTTGTTGGAGATAAACATGTTCAAAAGTTAGATCAATTATAACTTTATATGTAAATTTCGAGAATTTGACGAAAACAATTTTTGTTTCTAATATTCGTTATTATTGTACTGCTCCAACTCTCTATACATCTAAATCTCTATGTATATATGTACATATACACACATATAATAACGTTTATAATAAAAAAAAATTTTCTGCATATTCTCGGAATCGATATATAAAGTTATAAGTCATAACTTTATATATCGATTTCGAGAATTTGCAAAATAATAATTTTATATTAATAATTTCCATAAATAATTGAAGGAAGTTAGTCGATTGTTCTACCTATCATAATTGATAAATAATCAAGACTCAATCATTTTTAAGGTTTTTATTAGTGCCGACATTTCAACCCAAACATGTGGGTCATCATTTTATTCAAGTGTTCTTTAATACTTGAATACCTTCAGTGCTCGAACCACGCCCTGATGACGACCCACATGATTGGGTTTAAACCTCGGCAATAATAAAAAGTTTGAAATGACTGCGTCCTGAATATTTATCACCCATGACCAATAATTTTCATAACTTACAACTGATCTAACTTTTAAACCGTTGACTAGTAAAATAATATATATTCTTGAAGAAAAATTAATTATTAAAACCTTTCTCTCTATTAATTAATCGTAAATCGAAGCAATCAAGAGTTAAACCAAGTTAAGCTAGTTAAATACAGTAAGAAATATGAGGTTTAATTTATTTTTTTCCAGATTAGCAATAGCTGAGGAAGGATATCTCGGAAATATCACCAACACAAAAGATAAAATAGAACCAATAAACAAGAAAAATGCAATATACAAATTAAACTGTCAAAACTGCCCCAAAATCTACATTGGTGAAACATCCAAACAATTAGGAACTAGAATCGCACAACACATCACCAACTGTAAAAATCCAAAAAACATAAACACAACAGCCTTAGCACATCACAGTATAAAACTACAGCATAAATTTAACTTTAACAAACCACAGATAATAAGCACAGAACCAAAGAACACCAACAGAAAATTACTTGAAGCAATACACATTACAAAAAACAACAGAACAACAGTCAACTACAAAACAGACACTAAACATTTAGGAACCCACTATACAGACATATTGAACAAAATTAAAATTTAATAGAAGTGAAATCACAGACACATAAAATAAACACTAACAACAACAATCAAAATAGTCAGATAAAACATTTAGATCCAAAGGTCAAATTTTCACTATGGCAGAAACCCAATTATTGGTCAAAAGGAGAATGTTGCTCGAGATGATAAATTTTAGAACATAAATTAGAAAATTGACGATGGAGCACATTATTATTATTAGAATTAAAGTAATTACAAATTTATTGTAACAAACATAATACAAATATGTAATGTAACAAGCACAATATTGTAACTTAAAATTTTTGTTAGCCTTGCATCCACAAGAGTATTGGAATCGCATTTCTGAAGATGGGAATAAAAGGTCCCGAAACGTAAACTAGACTGTTAACATGTAACGTTAAAAATATACTCGAATTGTTAATAATTGGAAGTTATTATTGCCAAGCAACTAAGTTAAGCTAGTTAAATACAGTAAGAAATATGAGGTTTAATTTATTTTTTTCCAGATTAACAATAGCTGAGGAAGGATATCTCGGAAACTAAGCGAGATACTGAAAAAAGGTATGAAATCAAACATGTTGCAAATTTTATCAGCTTTAATTCTGTATAGAACGTCATTGTCGAAACGATGGATAGTTTTTGTGATATAAGCGAATATCCGAAAAAAAGTGAGGTTCTAGGCGCTACCCCACATCTGGCTCACCAGCTAGGAGTGGGGACTTTTAGTTTGTTTATCTCCATACTGGTCCTAATAATGTCTCAAAGTGAAAAATTGTGTTCCCGCCATTTCCTTCTATTCCTCCTTTTCGAGCATTTATTGACTGGGCTATTAAAGAATACAAAAATAAACTGTCCTTGTTTCTTCGGAAACAATTAACCTGACATTATGAAATGTTGTAATAATAACCTTTTGCTGCCAACTAATGACGTCTACTGCGATTTTGCCGTCGCGTACTCAGTAGATTGCACTGGTGGATCCACGGAGGGAGGATATTTCAAACTGAAGTTTCCTCCTCCCCCTCCTCCCCTCCAGAATAATTTTTTTTTTTTCATTGTTCGTTATTTATTACTGTGAGTGATCTAAGCCAAATATTTAAGCAATAACAATACATTCTATTTTTTAAATTACAGTGCATATTCAGCTACTAAATATAACCATGTCTTATGAAAACAACAATAAAAAAAGATCTCTAAAACTATCTTTGTTCGGGTAGTTAAATTTTTAATAGGACATCAAGAACAGAAAATAAAAAAAGTTTCGGAGCGAAGTCCTATAAACCAAAAATTTATTCCTGGATCAGCAACTGCCAGAATGGAAGAGACAAGATTCATTTCTAGGGACCTCCTAAGTAAACATCAACCTCCCCATGTGGGAATCGAACCCACAACGTTCACAACCCGGGATACAGCGACTGATGCCCCTTATCCCGTAAGAAAAAAACGACATTATTTCATGAAAATGCTAAATCCATTTTTTTAATATTTATAACATTTTTTGTTTTTTCACTTAAAACTCCGAAAGGTGCATCGATGCGAAAACGAACGAGGAATTTGATACTCTACTACTTTTATTCTATGAGTTTTCCCCTCAGACAACTTATTTTCAAGCAGCAGCGCCATTAATAGTAAATTGCTCAGTTTTTGCCGGTTTTGGTAAAAATCAGCGTACGTTGGCCGTGATTATAAACCATACCACTTGACTAAATTATTAAATTTAGGCACTCTTTCGACGCACAATTTAACTCTCTTTGATTCCTTAAAAAAATGGTTTGTTTTTCGCTTTGATGCATCGTTTAGGATTTATGAGTGAAACAAATAAAAATCGAAAAAATATGCCTTTTTTGGCTGTATAAAGTTTTCTCTTGGTGGCTCGCGCTCGTAATTTTGTCTTTTACATGTCTCAACCAATATATATATATATATATATATATATATATATATATATATATATATCCTGTATATATTATTTATAAAAGGTGTTTTTTTTGTCGGTACGCTACAACTTCGTCAATTACTCATCAAATCCAATGATTGACGACTCATTTTGAAGATATTCTTCTCCTTCGTATCCGAAAAATAGTCGTATTCTCCCGAAAATTCTGAGAAAAAAGTTATGAAAGAAAATAAACTTTATTTGCGAATAACTCAAAAAGTATGCATTTTTTTCTTGATTACTAGCAAAGCAATTTGTATAAATATTTTGGTCTATTATGTTTAATGGAATATTGTAATCGACTAAGGAAAAAATATAATTCCTTCCTTACATAGTACATAGGAACTTCTTATTTCTATATTGTTTTGCTATTTCTTCACTAAACAAAATTTTCTGCGAATTTTTCGCACGGGCCAAATAGTATATACCCTTTCCCTTCTTCCCTCTACAGATTGTATCGTTCGATGGTGTATACTGATTATACACAGCTGGATATTCAACTACACAATCAACCCTACAAGGAAAACATCAACAACTCCAAGAGCAGTATGGTTTCCATCGACAGAGCAGTACAGGTACAGAGGCCGATGCCCTCAATGGGACGCCGATACGATGGTACTGACCTGGAGTTTGAATGGAAGAAACCGCAGCTCTATAGTCTGCCCCCCTCCGAGCAATAACTTCACTTTCTCAACTCGTGCCGTCTAAGAAAGTGTTCCCTATGTATGGATACAGCTCAAAGCTGAGGACTGTTTGATGTTATCTTCACTTACTTGTCTTGGATCTCGGATCTCTAGGTCCATCCACGGTCACCTTGATGGCTTTGGTGTAAGTGGCCACCTGTGGAGGGCTGGATCCGACGGTGATTGTCAGGGTGAAGCTCTTGCCTGAAACAGGGAATCAGTTGAAATTAAAAAGCATATTTTGAAAATTAATATAATTAAAATTAATATAAAATTAAATTATAAATTAATAATGGGGGACATTAATGTTTTCTCTTGAGGTAAGAAACAACTCTCCAACATTGTGATTTATAGTAGGAATGAATGTACCGAAAAAATCTGATACGGTTCGGGGATCAGACAAATTTCATTTATCACCTTTTTTTTTTTTAGCATAAATTAGTATTTTCATACAAAGATAAGTGAAAATAAAAATAACAGAGGTCTAATGTATTACATTTATGTTCTTATTTTCACTACTTTATATTTTAATTATTATAATAAATAATTAAGTGCCACGAAATATACTAAGCACTCTTTACGTATTCTAACATTTCGGCCAAGCTCGGGTGCGCGCTCGGGTTTCTTCGTTTCTCCGTTTATCCTTTAGTTAATTATAAAATACTATTATATATTTTTTTAATAATGTTTTATAGCTGTTTACAATGCGAAATGGTTAATTATTTCAAATACAAAAATAAAGGTATGTTAGAGGAAGAAATTATGAAAATTAGGTAATTAAGCCCTGTTAGAGAACATCAATGAGAATTAGTACTACATTATATTAAAATGGCTAAGCTGATTGATAGACTGAATTTAATAAAAATCGTTTGAGGCGTTTTGGATAAAATTGAAAAAAAAAAAACGTCTAAAATTGATGATATAATGGTTGCTGTAACATCCCAGGCATATACCTATATTAAATACGTAATATCGGTTTCGTACACTTTTCGTTTTTGAGATATGCTGTTAACAAACACACACAGAGACCATTTAGTGGAACTTGGTTATTTTATTTGGTTAAAACCTGTAGTTCCGTTGAAAACTCAGATTAAAAAAATTTCACAATCGCAATACTTTCCTTAACTATATTTTACATGTATATGTAAGTGAAAGTAAAAAGGATTATTATACAATTATATATTTTATTTTCTTGCAGTTTTTGAACAGCTGATCAAATATGTTTACGAAACAGTGTGTTAAATGAAATTTTATATTTTATATTAGTCCGTGGTACAGAGCTTTTTATCGAATTATTAACATCCGCTTGAAAATTCGTAAATTGTTTCATATCATCGTAACCTACAACCTACAACTTACAACTATTTTATTTACGAAAACTCTTGGAATTGGGGCGTTTTCAATCTGGAGGGGGACTAAATTTGTCTATTTAATTAGGTACTAAAAACTTGTAAATACCCATGTGCTTTCTACTTGGATCGTAAGACAATTTGATCACATAATCGAGAAAAAAAGATGGCCTTCAAAAATATTGAGCCGTTTGGAGTGACCTACACCCCCAAATCATCAAAATAACGAGGTTATATAGGACAAACGGCCCAATATTTTTGTAGGCCACCTTTTTTAACGAGTTTGCGATCAATTTATCTTACGATCCAAGTAGAAAGTAAATGGATATTTAAGATTTTTTAGTACCTAATTAAATAGACAAAGTTTGCCCTCCTCCAGATTGAAAAGGCCCCAATTCCAATAGTTTTCGTAAATAAAATAAATAATAAAAAGGGCTCTGCACCACGGACTATAGTTGATGATAAATTCATTTAATTGCATATTTTAATCATTTCAATTAAATTAAAAATTAAAATACAACATGGAAGTTCAGATTACAATTACGGGTTCATTTTCAATAAATAAAATAACAAAGTAATTATTGACTTCTCAGATGTTATTTTTATTTATTTATTTATTTTTTTTGCTGTATTTGAGTTCGCTTGTTATTTTGATCATGAGCGGTGATATATTTTATTATTTGAAATGCTAAAAGTAAATGCATCATTTTCTTCAAAATTAACAAAGTTTGAATCATATATAATTTGAAATATTTGTAGAAAATATATTTTAGTTTTCATTTATTACTATAAAGTAATTTCAATGTTCAAAAACAGATAATATGGGCTCTAAAGACTCTCATAATCAATAAACTGCTTTTATAAAATTTATATATGTATTTATTAATTTAACGGTGTATTTTAGAAAGTCATAAAGTAATATCGCTACTGATATTTATATAATTTAGCTAAAATACAAAACTTAATATTTGAAACTGAAAAGAAAATTAACACAGCTACAAGAAGAATGTTGAAGGACAAATGGTAATTTTGTCTTCACAACTATTAACTCATCCGACTTCGAAATTGCCTTTGCTATATTTTTTAATAAGATAACGAGCAAGCACAGATGGCCACTGTACAAGTTTCTACGAACCGAGGAAACAGATGAAAGAGGCGTTTGGATAATATTAACAATATAAGTGAGGTGTGTAAACACCTCATAATACACATATAACTACACACAACATATAAACAAATGTAAACAATTTAAAATATACGCAATTCACCAAGAATCAACATATCAAAATATATTTTTATCTTGCATTTATAGCTCTTAGATCTTGGATATTTATTAAATAAAATAATTTAAAAAAAGAAGAAATTATTTTGAAATTATGTATTCTATTTTATCGGCTGTGGATCGATTCTGGGGCCAGGAGACCATTCTGTTGCTCATCCAGATTCCATAAAATCGGTACCCTTAATTATTGAGTTTAACTCATTGAGAAGTTAAACCTAGTTATTTTGAGATCTCGTTCAAATCACTTCCTTGCACAACCGTTGGCCAAGAAACAGCAATTATATACGGCGTCTTCAAGAAATATATAAGTATACTTCAAAGATTTATTCAAATTCAACGACATTTCGAGCTAATTTTTTCATTCCCAAGTCATCAAAAATTATTTATATATTATTTTATTAAATATTCATTTTCAGTTCACTAAACACAAAAATAACACTATTTCTTGTCTCATTTCATTCGCATTTATTCTAATGCTTGTTCATTCCCGAAACTCGATGCTACTTCCTCCATCTATTGTTTAACATCGACTAATCGACTTAATGTCGATGTCAATAACTATTACGGAGAATTTAGAAAATGAAGTAAATTTTTAATCGGATTCGACAAAGCATTAGCCAAAATTATGCAGAGCTGTTAGAAAAGTTAAATAGATAACTTAATCCTAAAATCTGATAAACAAAATAAATTGAAATTAAACACATTAGAGAGCGCCACAGTATGTTAAGTAAGTCTAGACTACAGCTAGTGTTGCCAAAATTTGAGACCGAGACGAGTCTTAGTCTTGTAAACTCAGTCTTGGTCTAGGTCTTGGTCTTGCTCAAGTGTGTCGCAACGGTCTTGCAGTTATCTATTAGCTTATTAATATAGAGGTATTACAGTAATTTTTTAGATAGAATAAGCCTAACTAAGCTCGAATGAAAAATTAGAAGAATTAAATGCAAAAGTTTATTGGTTTTACCAATTCTTTAGATATACTAACTAAAATTGTCAAATATTAGAAACTATTTTGCTTTAATTTTTATTCAAAAAATAATTTTTTTTGACTAGTCCTAGTCTTGGTCTTGCAACAGTTACGCGGTCTTGCACTTTGCATGACCAAGACCGATTTTAGACAACACTAACTACAGCTCAGTAGAGATAATATGAGGGTAATCAAAGAAATTAAGATAAAAAGTTTTTTATTTCTTATTTTTAGTTTAGTTTTTGTCATGTTTTTCAGTAATGAAATAAATTTTGTTAAAAAAAAAAGTAAAATGAAATAGTGTTCTTGTTTTTAAAATTTTTAAAAAAAAAATTTTTTTATTAAAAATGAGTTGTTAAATTACTGGATCAAATTTTTGATAAAAATACGAGAAATTTTGTGGAATTTTTAAAGAAAAAAAAAAAACATTATATATTTGATAAAACAAGTACTACCATAGAGTAAGTATTATATATACATAATTTTTTTAAGTCGAAACGTTAAAAAATCATAACTTTTAAAAATTGTAAAAATGTTTAAATGTATAATAAAAGACTGTGGGATAAAAAGGGTATTATAAATAAAATGATCATATGTAGATTAAATATAATAATTATTAATAATTATATTAGTCAAAGAAATACTCGTAATTTATTATTGCATGTTGATCCTTGAAGACCTGAGACAAGTGCCACTCACAATTCATAAAATATTAAATTCATAAAATACCGCAATAATACAAATGGTTGTAAAATATAATTATGTTTCATACTTTTTTTTTTTAATGTACAAAATGATACGATGTTTAATTATTTTTGTGCTCGGAAGTCAAAAAGCCACCATTTTTTTTTTAGGATCAACAAGCGAAATTAGGATTAACATGAGTTAATTCGACAAAGTATACCATTGATGCTAGCGGTCAGCCCTGAGGTTTCCGGAGAGTAATAATTTTGTGGCCGATCTCGACGACATGCGACGCCACGATGAGCCGATAACTTGAGTAGGCGTTAACAGAGCAACAATGGCGTAGCCCCACATTGCGGGGTACCGCAGGTAATCGTCCGAAGCAACAATGTTAATTGCTAATTGCTAATTAACAGCTCGTTAATTGAAGGGAACCTTTATGTAAGCCGAGTGGTGAAAACCAGGACCCGGCAGGAAGTGGTCACCAACTCCTTCCGACATGCACTGCTGCCTCGATAAAACATTAAAACTAATAACCAATGGCCGCTCTACTTTCTGTTTAGTTTTCGACTCTACCGCTCTCTCTCTTCAATTTCTTTATACAATTTTTTTTTTAATTTTCTTTTTCGGAGAAATCCACCGAGTAATAGACTCCTAGACCGTGATGTTTACAGACCGACCTCTGCACAATAAAAGTTTCAAGATTTCAGAGAAGGTTCGATTATTCATGTTCTGGAGAAGTACTGGATGGCTGCGGTATTTCCACGCATGGTTTCTATATATCACTTACAATAATTAACGGTTATGAGCGGACGTCCGCGAAGTTTTTAATGAATTTTTCAATGTTTCCTGGCGTGGGTAATACTCGACTCACAATTCCTTCTTTTTTTTTATCGTACAAACCCTCAAAATTAAACAATAATAA